AGCTGCTATGTAGGCGCCGTGCTTTTTGGTCAACACCCGCTATACTCAGCTTAAGCTGCTATGTAGGCGCCGTGCTTTTTGGTCAACACATGCTTAAAAACTCCTCATCGCGATTTTCAGCGATTGGCGTCGATGTCTCCACTCCTCGTCGACCATCATCAAGAGCTTTCCCGCTCGAAGACCGCTGGAGCGACCTCGGGGAAAGGGACACCAAGGTGGGGTTGGACCTTCCTCTCAGGGTATCCTGGACAGATCTCTCAGTATGTGGGCGACCTTTTGCCGACCCCGTTTCCGGAGGGTGCTGGTGGGGTTCTCTCTGAAATGGACTGCAATGTTTGGTTCAGCCTGGTGGGCTCGTATTCATAGCGAGTATCATAGTATGTCAGCACCCGTGGGCACCCTGGTGCCCGGGCTTCCGCTCCGCCGAAGTCGATCTCCGCGGTGCCGAGCAACGGTTTTCGCGGTCGATCTCCTTCAAGGCTTTCTCGAAGGCCCGGGAGGATTCCAAGGAGTCCTAGGGAGCGTCGTTCAGACGACCTAGGTGTTGAGTCAGGTCGGTGCCATCCGGGGCGAAGAACTGGGCGTGACCGGTGGGGACCCGGAAAGAAAAAACCACTGGTCTCTGTGACTTATCCAACTTCGCAAAGAACCGTTCGAAGCACCACGCGTCCGCCGTTGCGACCCACCTGAACCCACCGGAGCACCGTGTCCTGCACAATGTTGGCCACGATGCAAGTGACCTGAACGGGCCGCTGGTGGGGTCCGCCCGTCACCCTACCCTGTCACGCCTTCCAAGATCATGTTCAATCAAACAGTTGACCTGGCTTTCGAAGCAATGCTGGGCCGAGAATCCGCCTTCTCCTGGTTACTGTATTTCCCAGACACTCCATGTATGCCATATATGCCTACATTGGGGTGGTTTCAGGGGTCAATGTAGGTAAATATGGCATACATGGAGTGTTTGGGTTTGGTAATTATATAACATGGTTGTGGGAATTCGAGGGTATAGGAAGCTGCTTGCTGCCAGGGGGTCGTCTGGTGGTCCCTGCCACCCTACTGGTCGATGGTCTGGACATCCAGTGGAAAGATGTGGGAAGCGCAGCTAAGGGCTTTGGGAATCCGGCTTCTCTTCAGCTTCCAGTCGTGGGGAACCCCCATCTCAGATCCTTCCGGATGACCAGCAAATGAATGGTAAACCAACATGCCATGTCGACCAAAGACGATCAAAGACTTCGTCCAAATCGACCACATGTGAAACCAAAGCCCCCGCCTTTCGGGCCATCAACCCGCTTCCGAACCCCCTTCCCCACCCGGCTTCTCCCGCGCCCGGTGCAGGGATCACCGCGATGCCCTTCTTCCGCGGCTGCCGGTCCGGGGCATCGGACGAGGCCGAAGGTGGTGGACAACAAGAAGAAGGCGAAGAACACGAACTGGGCCAGGCCACACTCGCGGCCAGAAGGGCGAAGAGGATAGTTGTTGTTGGTTGTTCTTTTTCGATTTTGACGGGGTTCCATTCTTCTTTGGAAGGAAAGGGCGTGGTGTTTTGTTGGTGTTTTTTCTGAACACCTGCGCGGTTTCGCTGGGGACATGTGTGCCTACATTTGCAGGTTGGAGGCCAATATTTGGCCTGTGCGTATACTATATATATATACACATGACTCACTCCTGTTTGTAGAGTAAAATTGTTATCCAGGGCCATGCCATTCAATTCCATTGTTGTTTCAGGAAAGGCATCAATACTGTCAATACTGTCTATAATTTTGGTCGCCACACATCCCCACGCCATGCACTGCTTGACAGTTCAGGCGGCTAAAGCTGGGTATTGCAGGATGATGGGCCGGCCGATGTGGTTCGCCCATTGCGCGTTGGTGATGACTTGGATCATCGACAAAAAACCTCAGCATGTTCGAGGACGACCAAACGTCCGGTGCATCCTGTGATGTCTTGCGCATCCTACGGTGATTGCGTAACTTTGTACTTCACTACCGACAAGTAGCTAGCAGCTACCCTGCCATCTGCCTTCTACCACCTCCTCTGCCAAAAAACCGTCTTCAAACCTCTTCGACACCAGGCAGCTCCGGACGATGTTTCCGAAGTACTCTCGGTTGTCGAACGACATGAAGGGCTCGAAGTTCACCATGGGGTTCGTGCCTAAGTACAAGCTCAGGTGGAGGGGCATGAGGAGCTGAGGCGGGAGGGTCCCCTCTATATAGGCACGCTTGGAGAAAAAAACATCATCTCGCAACCCATCACCTTTAACTTTAACACATGTAGTAACCAACCTCTGAATTCAAACTCCTCCTAGAAAAGTGACCAGGTCCGATCAGGCCAGATCAAGGTTCCCTCAACCTTCTTGTTACACTTGCCTCCTCTGGATACACTTGGCTGGATGTTATTCCCAAATGTGGGGGCTGGGCGTTGCAGGGTGCTGCTGCCAAATGGTGATGGCAGTTAGATGTCTATTGCATGCCCCACCACCATTACGACATATTACGACGACTAAGAAAGAACTTTACTTCGAGTGATCCCCACCACGATATGTCAATCAGTTGTTTTCATGCCATGGTGCAAAGCATGTTGTCATGGTGGGGTGTTTTGTGGTTCTCGATTTTGCTTGTGGGTCCTTGCGTTTGGGGTTCTGGTTGTGTGTTTGTGGTTGTGTTTGTGGTTGTGTGTTGTCGTTTGTGTTGTGTGCTTGTGGTTGTGTCTTGTGTGTGTGTGTGTTGCGTTTGTGGTTGTGTCTTTGGTCGTGTTTGTGGTTGTGTGTTTGTGAGCGCGTTTGTGGTTGTGTGTTGTGATTGTGTTTGTAATTGTGTGCTTGTGGCTGTCTAGATAAGTGGAGACCAGTGTAAAAACATCCGGCCACGTGTACCCAAGACAGCCAAAATCATCCGGCCCAGGTATGCAACCCTTGAAAAGGAGCTCAGAACCCCATACAGGCAAACCTGTTTGGGGATTTTTTAGGAAGATGCTCTTCCTCACTTCTCAGGTTCGTTGCGGTCCGTCACTCCGCGGTCCGTCACTCCCAGGCGCTGCCGTTCCAAACGGGGGAGTTGCCAATGACCTGGCCGCCGTTCGAACGGCGTCGACTCGGGGCCTAACCCAGTAGGTGAAGAAGCACCCAACATGAGGACTGATGAAGAAGCACGCGTCGACTGGAATATATTGACATGGGTGGGATAGGTCAACAAGTGTTCGCGAGCGGAGCGGAGCGAACTCCGTCCATCAGGGAGGCACCCGGTGCTTTCCCAAGAACCCGAACGTCTCAACGGGTGGAGATCACCGGACGAAAATTCCATCCCCTCCCGGCCTGGCGCGTGCAAGCTCCGGCCGCCCAGGCAATCACCATCAAAAACAAGGAGACCCATGCCAAAGTCCTGGATCAACCATCGAGGAGACGCTGGCCGGTTGGCCACCCAAATTCAGGTGGCCAGTGGTTTCAGAGTAGGTGGCACAAAGCCCAAGAGGTTTTTCATACATATAACTTGAGGCCAAGGGGGGGGCGAAAGCTAGCGCTCCAGAATGGGAAAGTGGAGGGCAGCGAGGTAGGAAAAAACACGGCGCTCTTTTTGGAGGCAGGGGTGAAGAGTCCTTTATATGTGGCTCTTTGCCCGGATCCTCCTGCGAGAGAAGAGAGAGAAGAGAGACGGAAAGACGAGAGACAGAGAGGAGAGAGAGAGAGAGAAGAGAGAGATGAGAAAGAGATGAGAGAGATGAGAGAGATGAGAGAGAGAGAGAGAGTGAGACAGTGAGACAGTGAGACAGTGAGACAGTGAGACAGTGAGAGTGAGAGTGAGCGAGTGCGGCCGCAAGATACGCAACGCTAACCGCATGCCAAAGAGCGACGACAGGACGGAGTCGAACTTGCGAAGAGGGAGGAGGGAGGGAAGGTGGGAGGAAGACAAGGAGGAGGAGAGGGGAGGTGGGGAGAGGGAAGAGGGGAGAGGGGAGAGGGGAGAGGGGAGAGGGGAGAGGGGGGAGGGGGGGGGGGGTCTTCGACCTGAAAAATCAGGGGTTAGGATTTGCACCCGGTCGAAAGAAACCTTGCTATCGCAAGAGTAACTCCAGCTAGCTTCGCTAGCTTTCGTGATTACTGTAGAGGTCAATATAACATCATATAACCACCTTTGGGGTATTCTGCCATCTACTCTCCATCCACTTGTTGGAGACTGCACCAGTGGCCAGCTGGCCTTAGCCCCACGGGCGTTCCAAGCGGTGCAACCTCTGAATCTCCTGTCCAAAGACCCCCCCAGTAAAACGCACGTCATGGTATATCTGCGTTGGCACTCTCGTATCCCCCTTTAACCCATGTCAAGAGAGGTCAAGTGACCTTATAGGACCCTACTGGGGTACCTATGGGATAGGCGCTAGGGTTCTTCAACCTCTGTTGGTGTCACATCTTTTGATGGTCTGCGAGGCGTTTTTCAACGCTCCGCAACACCCAAACCACACGGCTCCGACGTTGGCTGCGCAAACGTCACTCCTGGCAGCCTTGCTGGTGCCACTCAAAAGCACCACTAACCTGAGTGAACCGGACTCGACCCTACACCCATGATCCACTGAGCCATCAACTAGACCCTACTACTGTCTTGGAAACAAAAACGTCAAAAAACAACAGGAGTGAGAACATGTGCACCTGCACCATGTGATCGATTCGATGATAAAACCAACTTGTCAAGCACACAACTTGGGGAGATGCATACCGTAAAGAGACTCCAAACTCTCCCAACCTGGACTGTCCGCTTGGAAGTTCTTCCGGAGAGAAAGAGAAAAGAACCGACCTCACTCGCAAGCACTGGCATAAAAGCCGCAGCACTGGTTTTACGGAATAGGAACGCTCCCTCTCATGTCTCAGTGGCTCTTTGGACTTGTGCATCCGCTTGAAGGCGCGGATCAGCCGCAACAACCTGCGAGGACCGGGTCCGGCGTCCGCCGTGGAGTTGGCTCCTTCGACTCATGCGCGGGTTAGGGCGCGCCCAGGTGCGCCTGAAGGGGTTCCCGATTCCAAAACCAAAGGATGATAGGGGACCTCAAAGGGACCTTCCTTGACGTCACTTTTTTTCAGGCATCCCGCGCAGTCTGTTGACTCTATAGGCATATGTTTCCGCCAGAAATGGCCAGATAAATATGTTTCGAACTAGACATGAGCAAGAACAAATCTGATGGACCCGCATTGGCAGCTATGCCATGCAGCATCTTAGCTTGCAACTGACCCGCCAGCTCGCCCCTCTGCGGCGTGGAACAAAAACTCCAACCCCGTCCCTGCCCTTCACTACCGGACCATCCCCCAGACCTGGCACGACCCAGCCCTCTACCACCTGGGATCGCTGGGTGTTGGTTCTTTGAAGTTCTTTGACTTCCAGGGCTTGCCGCGCTGGCCCGTCTGATGGCTTGGTTTTGAGTCATTCATGCTCAACAGGCCGGACGTTCATGCTCCACAGAGACCGGGCAAAGGGTCTGGCTTGCTTTTGCTTTGGTTCTCATCATCCATTCCGTCCCAACCGCCCACCTCAAGAGGCGGATCGAGGGCAAGGACCGCGCCATCGAGGCACCGGCGGCCATGCGTTCCACAAAGGTCAGGAGCACCAACGCGATGTCCAAACCTTCCAAGAGAGGTTGAGAGACCAGAAGGACCCTGGGATGTGGTACATATGGGATGGGCTATTGGGCGGCCTTAGGGCTGTTCACACGCGACGGTCGCGACCCATTTGGGACTGCCATAACATGCCGGCCGATCAATTGACCCGCCAAACACCACCCCTGGCCTGATCAGCTAACATTGGCAGTCCCACACGGGTCATGTCGACGGGTGCGCGTTTCGAAACGCGCCGCGTCGGCCATGGCGGTCTGCGAGGACTAAAACAGACTGGAAAGAAACGCTGTCAGCTCCCTGCGACCTGGTGCAGTGACCCTCCAACCGAATACGTTGGTTGAGGCGCCGGGGTCCAACGGACCAAGGTTTCAATTCGTGACCTGTCGGAGGGTCCTCAAAAAAGAGGTTCTCATTGTGAAGGAATGACACATAAAGAATCCTAAACCAGCACGGCCCACGGGTGGTTGATGGACACTCCTTCACTGCCTTCACCTCGTTTTCGGGGCTATTAGACACCCCATGACCGCTCCTGGAGAGTATCTGCGAGAACTCCAACCTACTCGATGGGCCTTCCAAAACAAAAGCACGCACACATACTCGCACACATACCCAGACATTCCATGGGACTGCCATATCTGCCGCCCCATTGACCCCCCTGGCACCACCCCTAACTGATCTTTATGTCCGGACCTACTCCGCCCGGGTCGTGAAAAAATCTGGTCGACACCTAACAACACGCACGGGTCAACCACCCTACGTCGTGACCTGTGGTGGTGAAGGTTCTCTTCGTCCCATCCGGGTCTTCAGTACGATGCGACTTCCGGGCAGTTCACTCCCCTCCGAGCGGCCCTTATCCCCCCCCCCCCCCCACGCGAGCGACCTGTGACTCCCGGGCGAGTGACCGAACGAGGCATTTTCGAACCCATTTGAAAACGAAAGGTGGACCTGGCTTTGTCAGTGCCAAATCTTTAGGATTGGTTGTGAAGTTCTCATCAGTTCTCTAAAGGCTGCTAAATTGGGGCCAGGAATTCTAGCGCTCTATAGGGCATGGGACTTTTTCAAGATGGCCTCTCCAGCGCGCCTGACCTGTCTATTTTGGTCCGCTCCCTCCGCTCCCTGGTCCAAGGGACACGTGAGCGCATCACGGATGGCGGACAAGCCGCGCCCCATGAAGCGGAGGAAAATCTCGCCTCGGCCATGCACCCGACCGATCCGACGGAGCCGCCGCGGACGGAGGCAGATAGGCACCGGACGGTGTACCGAGGCCAGCAAGTCATGTCGGATCTCATGTGCATATCATGTGCATGAATGTGAAGAACAAAATGCATGTGTGACGTGTGTGTAAATCATGCATAGATATGCATAGTATCAAAGATAAGAGTGTGTTTGTCTTTTTGGGGTGAGGATAGGTCGAAAGATGTAGATCCGGAGTCTGTGTGGAAGGAGTCTGGTGTGCCAGTCTGTCTGGCCTGGTTCTGAAAAGCATCTATCATCTACCATCATCTACCCACCACATGCAAGATCATGCCAAAAGTCCAAGAGTCACTTTCTTACTTACCTGGGCCACTGCTGCTACAAATCTCTATATACTGGTGAGCAAAAATAATATGCACGCGTCACACAATATTCAACACAATTATGCTACCCAAACACACCATGTATGCCATATATATATATATATGCCTACATTAGGGTGGTTTTGGGGGTCAATGTAGGCATATGTGGCATACATGGAGTGTCTGGGCTATATCGCTGGGAATCGTCATGGTGGCACGGCCCCTTGGATGACCATCTTCCTTCTTACCCACAGATGCAGGTCTTATAGGTCTTCTCTTCTCTGTTCCATGAGTGGGTTCCTCACCCCCAAACCAAACTCCGCCGGGCCACACATGTAAATGAGCAAAAAGCCGTTGTTCACAATGGAGAAGACCCAGGTGCTCGCCGAACCGGCGAGTTCCAGTTCTAAGCCTCGAGTGACTTGAACCGCGCGCATGATCGCGCTCGCCCATTCGCGTGACGCGCGGGACCGTAGCGCGTCCTTGAGTGAAGTCTGGAGTCAGGATTGTTTCTGTTGGCACCTCCCCATCAGCGTTCAATTACAGTAAGAAGTTGGATCCTGGAAGAAAGAAACAACAAAAAAACAGATCATCCAATGCCAGGGCCAAGCTTGAAATTTAATTAAGTCCATCTTGCCATACATCCCCACACATCGATTCATCCCTGCTCCCAGGTGATCCGTCGCCCCCTTTTTTTTGCGCCGCAAGCTCGGCTGCCACTCCGCGGCCTGTGAGGCCTCGTCCGCCTCCGCCGTGGTGTTCGCGGCGCTCGCGGGCGCAGCGGCTGGCGCTGCGGGCGCGGCCTTCGCGGGCGCGGGGCTCCGCGCGAAGGACAGGGACGGGCGCCACGAAGTGGCGCTTGGGCGCGGAGCCGGGGCCTCCGCAAGGAGGCAGAACGGCTGCGATCGATGCGAAAGAATCTGAGATGCACTAAGTTTGCCTTAGCTGAACGCTGAACTGCGTTATATGATGCGGGCTTATCAAAAACGCTGTTCATTTCAAGGTCCGCCACGCCGTGTCCATATATTTCAATCCCAACCCCTTCCCATTTTTGGGGGATCTCCACCATGTTGCTCTTCCCTTTCAGCCCTCCAGGTAGGTCTCCATGATCGCACCCAGTCGCACCTCCTCAGCTCCTTCGCCCGGCTCAGTGCTCCGTCCGGGCGCCGCGCGCGGCTCCGCTGTCGCCGGCAGCTGCGGTCGCCAGGGCGGGTCCACCGCGACCGGTGCAGCGGCAGTGGATCCGGGGATTGGGTCGTCCGCATCCATTGCATCTCCTCTTCCAGCTGTGGCTTTTGGGGAGAAAGAGGGGGAGAGTGGGGGGCAACAGCCCGGAGTGGGAGTGAGGGGCCATCAGCTTTCAAGTATAGTCAATGTCAAAGGAGCAAAGGAGCAAGGAGCCACAGCAACCGCAAGAAACAT